AATTATATTTAGGAATTCTTTGTTCCCTTCACCCTTTGTTTCAATATGGAAACCATTCAATCTTATATTTTTGAAACTTGACAAGCTCCTCTTCGAGCTGGGTGAATATAGGGCATCGCTTATTTCAAGATGCGTGCCCTTTGATAAAAGTATATGGGCATGACCATGGCCCTCAATAAGACTAGCTATACCCGCTATGGTGCTAATATTGGCATTTTTCATTATGAGATTTAGGAAAATATCTCTTATCTTTTGTGTGGCTCCACTATCCACCACAATTATGTTCTTGTCCTCGGCCATTTCTTATATGGACAAGAATCATGTTCTAAACATAAAATAATATAAAATAAATTCAAGCAAATAACAATCAATGAACACATAAAATGCAAAGAAAAACATAGAGGTTTTGATGTCGAAGTAAGATTTATCAACTTGATTCTTTTATGCAATCAGAAGTTTCATACTCTATTAGATCATCTTGATCATGTTCACCATCTTTATATACCAAATGGGCTTTAGGATTCTTCCCTTTTACACTCTCTTGATAGAGGTCACAACGATGTTTGGAAGTCCTACATATCTTAGCCCAATGGTTTCCCATTCCATATCTATGGTATACTCATTTGGTCGAGTGTTGTGGTTTGGAAATACCACATCGTCCTCGCCCTCGACCACGGCCGGAATTGGGTCTACATCCACGGTTATAGTGGTTCCCACGGCCGGATGAGTTATAGTGGCCACAACCACGTCCTTTCCATCCACCACGGTCACGGCCGTGTGGTCTATCACTTTAGACGTGGTTAGATTCTTTGGATTCTTTCTTATCCTCTGCGGCCTTATTGGCATTAGGTAATGAGGTTAATCTATGAGGTCGTAACTCACTGTTTTTATCTGTAAGTCATTATTTTTTTTTTTTTTTTCATCTAGCAATAGACTCATCCACGGACTTATAGTCCTGGATTATGAGACTCTCAATAAGATGGTGGCTAATATTGTCTTGTATCTATCTTTCTCTCTTGGCATTCTTGCCTTATTAGATACATTCACCAAGTCCTTTTGACTTTAGGATAATCTTAGTATCCATTGCCCATTTTAAAATAATTATCTCCTAAGAAATTTAGGGCAGTAAAGTACAAGTTGTAATTCAACATCTACAAGGAAAAGTTTTGAGTCAAAATCATGTAATCGTTAGTGTCATGCGGTATTTTAGACCGAACCATGAATCGATTTACTTAGGGATTTGACTTTCCTCTTTTGCTTAGGATTAGATTTCCTCTTTTTATTAGGATTAACTTTTCCTTTTCCTTTTTAGGATTTACTTTCCTCTTTACTTTAGGATTAATTTTCCTATTTCACTTATGATTTTAGATTTTAAGATTTCCTATTTTAATTAGGATTTGGAAATTTTCTATTTCTTAAAGTTTTCCTATCTTGAATAGGATTTATGAATTTCCTAATTTAATTAGGATTTAGAGTACAATAGGATTTAGGATTTTATTTAAGTTTTCATGCTTTCTATTAGAATTTTAAAGTTTCCTATTTTATTGAGGATTTTAAGATTCCCTATTTAGGATTTAGGGTTGTTAAGATTTCCTATTATCTAGGGTTTCCTATTTTATTTAGGATTTTAAGGTTTCCTAGATTTTAGGGTTTCCTATTTTATTTAGGATTTTAGGTTTTAGGGTTTTGAGATTTCTTTTAGGATTATCTTTTCTAAGTTTTCTAGGGTTCATGCAATTTTAGTTTTAGGGTGTTAAGCATGTAATCAATCAAAGGAGCAAACAATCTAACAACCTAAACAATCTCAATCAAGCCGATTTAAACTTATGGAATTTTTTTTGGATTAGATTCGTTTTAGGTTTTAGGTTTTTAGACCTTTAAAGTTTCGGTTATTAGCTTATGTATTTTCGTTTTGCGATTTTAGGTTTAGACAATTAAAACTTCTCTAGCAACTTAGGCGAGTTTAGCTTAAGCGATAATCAACTTTTTCTAGCAACCTAAACGAGTCAAACAATCGAGCAAACAAGCAATCGGATCAAACAAGCAATCAAATCATACAAGCAAAGCAATCACTTAATCAATCATCATTCGTTTTAGGGTTTCTCTTTGCTTAACTTTCAAGTTCAATTGTTGGTTCTTTAGCTTTAGGGTTTTGATGTTACCTTTCACCTTATGGGGTTGTATGGACTAGAACCGGGAGCTAAAGACCTCGGTAACTCACGCTGCTGCAACGAACCGCAAACAGTACCACGATGAACAGTACCGCGATGAACAGTGCCGCGATGAACAGTACCGCGATGAACAGTACCGCGATGAACAGTGCCGCGATGAACAGTGTCGGCGATGAACAGTACGGCGATGAACAGTACCGAGATGAACAGTGTCGGCGATGAACAGTGCCACGATTTTTAGGGTTAGGGTTTTAGGGTTTTCGTTAAGAGCAAGTCGTGCTGATAACGTGTTGTAAACTGTGTTGTTCTATTGATTAATGAATGAGATTTCGATACATATATATACATGATGAGGGGAGACAAATCCCCATTGGGCTAGTAAACCCTAAAGCCCAAAAGCCCACTAAGTACAATATAGGCCGTCATAAGGAGAATCTTCAAGAACATGGGCATGGACCTTCTAGGACATGGACATGGGCCTTCTAGAATATGCATAAGGTCCACGGTTATGGAGTCCATCTAACATGTGGTTTATAACAAATGGCAAGTTTTTTAACATGTTTATTTTTAATTTTTTTTTAAATTGTTTTCAAAATAGAAATTGTAAATAAATCTTTATATAATAAGTCACAAGTCAATTCATAAAAAACTGCAACCTTCTCTTTCTGACATGTGTCTTAAGTCTCAAATTTTAGTCTTTCACTTTTTTTTTTCTAAACGTAAACCTAATTATTCAAAAAGCAAAAGAAAAAAAAATATTAGAAAAATGATGATCAATCGTTTTTTCAACTGCTTCGTTCCCATGATCTCAAAATGCTCCACTTCGCCTCTCTTCTTCAACAATAAGAGCAACAACATGATTTTCTACAAAAAAAAAGCCTCCACATCTCTTTCTTTTTCTATCAGATAAAAAAAAATTGAATTTGTCGTTCCATGTTTAAATTTGAGGGTTATCATCAATCACATGTATCTTCGTCTTTGCAATTTACAATTTGTTTTCACATTTCTCGAATCTGGCTTATTTTGTTAATCGCCGTTTTTATAATCATTAAATTCTCTATTTCTCAGTTTGTTCTTGTCTTAAATGATTGATTTTACTTTTGGATTTGCAGGTTTATGTTCAAGATGTTCCTGATTACGCCGTCGTTTTTTGAATCGAAATTCGTTCCGACAACTTTCAGACCGAAATCTATCACCCCAAACAGATGTTCTTATCTACAGGTACTTGAATATCAATTAGTGCCAAATAATGTGAAGCTTATTTATGACCCGAAGTGAATTACTCTGCTCTAACCTTAGATAGCAGAGCCTCCTTTTGATTTATGATCTATACAGTTTCATCCAATTCTATTTTCTTTTATTGTCAAACCAATAGTTGGTTTGTTCAACTCTATAAAGATCTATTTCTGTTACCATCCTGTCTATTAGTATGATGCTAAGATGTTAAGAGTTTAAAACTTAGCAAAGTAACAAACAACAGATATATCCATTCTCGACGTTTTTTTTTGTTGTGTTCAAATAAATTGCAAGTTTTAATTGTGGTGGTACATGTAGTAATATGAAGGTTGAAAAACATTAATAAGAGCGTAACTTTTGTCTGCATTTTAGACTTTGTTTAAAACACACAACTTTTGTCTACGTGTATACTTTGTTTTGCAGAGAAAACTCTTTCTACAAGTGATGTTTGCTTGGAAAAAATGATTTATAATAACTCATCCGTTTATATTTTCATTGATGTTTTGTTTCAGGATTACAAGAAATGCTAAAAATTTTATAGCAGATCAAGATGCATTTAACAACTCAAAACATAGCTTCAGTAAGAGCTTAACTACAGTGAATTCATAAACTTTGTATTTAATTGGTGGTGCCATGCTTCAAACTCAAGAACACAACACCATGGCCACGACGATGAACTATACTGACCAAAACACCACCAATTATCTGCACTCCTAAACTCTTCACGCTCTCTCAAGAACAAACCCACATTTTAAGGTATACATTAAAATTGATTTTCATTTTGTTAATATAACAACATGTGACAGAGATTTATCTTTTAAGATTGAAGTGGTAAAGAAAAAAATTAGTTGGTTTATCTGTAAGTTTGATTAAAGTTTTGCCCGTACGTAGTACGGGCTTAATACTAGTAAAATATAATATGGAAAGTGAATAGAAAAACGGAAAATTGGAAATTGGAAATCAAAAGAAAAAAAAAAAGGAAAATAAGAATCTTTATATATGGGGGGTTTTGTCATCGTTTTTTTATATTTTAAATCATTCTTCAATTGAGCAAAATTGTAGAAAGAAAGATGAGTGAGGAGGAAGCGAGGATGATAATCGAAGGAGTGAATTGTGGGAAAACTCGATGGATTTATCGCGGGATAGCCATGTTGGCATCTGTGGTTTGGTTAACTAGGTTGTCTACACCGATTTTCTACTGTGTTTGGTTGCGTATTTAGGTTACCAACGACCTTTTTGGCTCGCTTGTGTTTCCGTAGCGGCCTAATTGATCCTTGTTAATACTCTTCTTTTCCAAGGACTACTATGTCTTCATACCAAACCCCCGGAGGAGGACAAGTCTCTCGTCTCTGATCTCAACGTTTAGGTTTATTTAGGGATTTCATTTGCTTCCTTAAGTGTTTCTTATCATCTAGCGATTTTGTACTTGTGATCACACACCTGGGATCCATTAATCACAGGGACTGTGCAATATCACTTCGAGGAGATCATCGGACGCCGCATGAAAGACATGGTTAGCGGCGTAAGGACTTCTCGAGTTCAACCTACGTGGATTGGCAAAACTATCTGGGAAACAATGTGCGCTTACTGGGACTTAGAAGAAGCTCAGGAAAGGAGTAAGACCTATTCCAATGCTCGTATGTCTGACCGCAACGGTCTCGGTCATCACATCCACTTCTCAGGGCCTAAGTCTTATCAAGAAATCCAAGACGATATGGTAAGTTTAATTCTGTTACTTCTTGTTATTAAACTTTGTAACTATGAATTCAGACATCTGTTTTGGAGATGTTAATATCTGTTTATTTGGTTACATTGCAGGAAGAGGAATTGGGAAGACCGGTAAGTCTTGGTGAAGTTTTCATCAAGAAACATACAAGGCCGGATGGTACATATGTTGATCGGAAAGCGGAGAAGATTGCAAAAACTTATGAGCAGAATGTGCTTGATAGGTTGAATGACCTAGAGGCAGATCCTTCTGCAGTTTCTGATGGCACTTCACGACCTCGGGAGCTCACAACAGAGGAGAAAACCACCATCTTTCTTCAGGTTCATTTTCCCAAAACACATTCATATAGTCTTGCAGTTTAAGTTGTTATTCTCTAATCTCTGCCTTTATGTTTCTTTTCACAGTCCACTGAGAGAGATGCAAGGGGAAATCCGTATGGAATCGGAAGTCTGAAGAACACTCTTGTCAGTGGCAATCGCAAGTACCCTGGAGACTCATCATCCTTTCAAGCTCTGGAAGAACAGCTAAAGGATGCTCACCGCAAAATAGAAGAGCAGGTTGCATATAATGAAAGGCGAGAGTCTGAGGTTGCTTCCCGTGAAGCTGAGCAAGCTCGAGTCGCGGCTGAGCAAAAGGACAAGCTCGAGCACTTGTCCTTGGTGGAGAAGTATCTGCGTCAAACTGATCCTCAATTCCTCCACTTCATGGCCACTCATTCTTCTTCAGCTGGTACCACAGACCCAATTCCCCAACAAGATCCATAGGTTGCTCTATTTCCCAACTCTATTCCTTTTCCCTTGAACATTGACGTGAACATTATGTGTGATCTGTAACTGTTGTAGTTTGCTATGTTTAAATGGTTTGAACACGAACTTAATGTGTATTTCCCTTGTAACTGTTGTTATTATGATTAAGGTTATTATTGCTTTCCTTAAAAGTTAATTTTGATATTTAAAAATAGATATAGAATGACAATCAGAACCGTAACAAATTATAATTCAGGTCTTACCAAACTTTTGTTCTATCAACCTACATAGTCGCCTAATAGTCGTAAAAATAGTAGTCTAATAGTCGCATATTAGACACAAAATTTAACGACTACGTAGTCACTAATAAACGTAGTCGTATTATTAGTCGCCAAATTGTCGTAACATAGTCACTAAAACTTTACGACTAAGTTACGACTACACTTAGGAGACCAACTATACATGCGGTTTAATCGTAGCATAGTCGTAAGTTAGTCGTATTATAGTTACGACTATGTTACGACTAATATGGCGACTCATCATATATAGTCGTAATTTAGTCGCAAAATAACGACTAATTTAACGACTAAAAAGTTTAGCGACTACGGATTTACGACTATATATATTAGTCGTATGATAGTCGTCTTTGCATGTTTAACGACTATTTTACGACTAATGTTGTAGTCGTTAATGGGCTGATTTCTTGTAGTGTTGATCCTTGTTAATACTCTTCTTTTCCAAGGACTACTATGTCTTCATACCAAACCCCCGGAGGAGGACAAGTCTCTCGTCTCTGATCTCAACGTTTAGGTTTATTTAGGGATTTCATTTGCTTCCTTAAGTGTTTCTTATCATCTAGCGATTTTGTACTTGTGATCAATTAATAAAATATCTATCCCCTTTGACTTTTGATTTTCCTAGTAAATGTCAAAACCCTTTCTTATTTCGAGCTATTGTTATTACCTTGTGTTTGGGTGAGAGTTCTTAATTGGGCTCCCACATTGGAAAAAATGATCAACTTCCTAACCAAATGCATATTTGAGTTTTATTTTGACTAGTTCCCAACATTCATTCCCCAAAAAATTGATAATACATAGGGATTTTTGGCAAATGTACCACAATTTTCAAAATTCCTAGCAAATGTACCACAATGGAAATCAATTTAGCAGTTGTGCCACTTGTGTGTGGTAGTGTGGTAGAGCTTGGACGATTTTACCCTTCTGCCTGCGTCAGAAATGTGTCAGAGGAAGGAGCTACAGTAGACGCCAGACAGCTTTGTGTCAGAAGGACAGCTTTGTGTCAGAGAAGAGGGACAAAACATTGCATTAAATGCAGTTTACATTTACAATGGACAATAATTATGAAATAGAGTGAATGATGTCCCCCAAAAATAAGTCCAGATCTCTTGCGAATAAAACCATACCCATGACGATGGACAACCATAATATCCAGGTGTCCCCGAATTTATCATAGTGTTGAATTTAAAAAGGATTATATAAAGAGAACATATGATGTGGTTTTACCAGCCAGAGATCTGAATTTACTCGGGGACAACTTTGTTTTACCAGCCAGAGGGACGGAAACAGTTACCAATGCGTTAGGAGAGAAACAAAGGACGACAGAAATTTTGGAGGGTCACATCAACCGCAGTTCCTTGTCTCACCAGTTAGAGGGTAAAATGGTCATTTTACAAGTACAATGTGGTATGAATGATAATTGAGCCTTGAATGTGGTATTGGTGCTAACTTTTGGGCCAAATGTGGTACCAATGCTAATTTTCTCTAATACATATTTGACTTTTTGGTTACATGTTTATGTTCGTAGAAGAAACCCATATGACTAAAATCTGCATCCTTGATCTCTTTTTATGTTTCATTTGAATGTGACTGGACCAGACAGGTTTCAAATTGGTCCTGACATTTTAAGGGTTTAAGATTTGTTCTTAAAATTGTAGATTAATCGTGTGATCAATTCGACGGGATTTGTGAAGCTGGTTCTATAAAGATCGGTTTAAAATTGATATAAGATTCATTGAAAGTTAGAAATCAATGAAAGGGAAGAAGAAGTTAACGAGACGCGAAACTAGTTGAGGGACTGCAAATGGCATTAGCCAATGAAGACCAAACACGTTCTATCACAACCTTGAAAAGATGGCCTAGGAGCTTTGAAGAGGGATCTACCAAAGACCGGTTGCAGCTTGAAGGAACAGGCTAAAAGAAAAAGAATGTATTAGTCTCACATTACATTCCAATTTCATTAACTTAGTAAAATGAACCAAATCTCATAAAATACACTAGATCCTTGTAGCTTAATTTCATGTCTCTACATCTACAACCCGAAACAGAGTCACATATAGAAGTTATTCATCAGAACCAGAAACAGTATCCTCTATGCCCTTACGCTTTCGTTTACATGAAAGGTTTTTCCAAGACAATAAGGACTTATTAAGCATAAGCCTTTCCGCCGTCTCAGTTTTATCATCAGGTAAGTCCGTATCAGGGATTGTTGCAAAAATATTGAAACCTCTATATCCCAAACCTAGAATAAATGGCCAGAATTGTTGATCTTCTACACTGGCATTCGCGATTACCAACAGGTTTGGGCACGCAGAACGATTTTTCACAACCCAGCAAATAATGTCCACCATCATCACAGTAAGTCTTGTATATTTGTCTGCTGAAACTGAGGTGAATCTGGAATGGGTACGATAGCTATCCGGGAAAGATTTCTCATCAGCAACATAAGCCAAGATTAAGATGTCATCCTCTGTTCCAAGATCGGTCTTAATATTCTGAATAAACGTTTCAGGCTGTAGACCTAGAGGAACTGGGTAATCCTGGACGTCCCAGAAGACGCATGTACCAACGTTTTCGGGAAGGACGAAAGAGCTACTACTCTCTGCCTCTGCCTCGGGGGGTATATAAGGCTCTGGAGAAACTCTACTCTCTACCTCTTCTACTTCCATTACATCTTCTTCTTCTTCTTCTTCTTCTTCTTCATCAGGATCATAAACATTTGCAAGTACTTTTTCTTCATCAAATAGGTCTCGACAAGACACTACTGGGACTTTTGATGAGGGATCAGACAGCAGTGCTAAGGAAACATTGCCATACTCGTCCTCAGATAAGGAGACTCCAAAATCTCCATATGATGTATTGGTATCATTAGGCATTGCAAACAAAACATTGCAACCTACTCGTCTCAAAGAAACAAGAGCCTTAGTCATCATCTCCGTGTGCTCTGAAATTTTTGAAAACACCACCAAATTTGGTTTTTTACTTCCAAAACGCTGGTTCCTTGCCATTGATGCAATGTCCCATAACATCAAATTAACGAAAGCCGATCTAGTATTCCCTGAATGTATGTACGATTATATATATATATATATATAAGTTAAAGAAAAAACAAAGAAAAAAAACAAGGAAAGGGTTCTTTCTTTCTATGTAAAAGAATTTACCCAAGAGCATGACGTTGATTCCGACATCTTCGCACTTTAGAATCTGGTCGTCGGGGAACATATCCCTACCACAATAAGCATCGATTGACCGCAGGCTTCGAACACGCTCTTCATAAAGAGGCAAGCGGAATGCCAAACCAATATAACCAGGGTCGGCAAAAAAAATACTATCCTTAGGCGGGTGCCAACTGTGAACGTCCCAGTAGGCGAATGTCCTAGCCACTGCGACGTTTCATAAAACGGACATGTCATAACCAATCACCAAACGGAAAAAATAAAACTATCAGATCCATTAAAATTTACATAGACGATTGATGAAATCTACAAACAATTCCGAGCAAGAGACAGAGATCTTACCGGCGAAAAGCCTTCTTCTGGCCATGGTATATACGGAGTGAGGTATCGAGAGACGATCAAGAGGAAAAGGAGGAAAAACAAGGGAACCCAGCAAATTAGGGTTAGATCTTCGGCTGCAATATAGTGACTTTTATTAATAAGTGAAAACATAAAAGTCAGGAAAATTAAAAATAAAGATAGATATTTAAATATTTGTCTATCTATGTATTTTATGAACAAATTTCCTAATGTATCCTTTGTATTAGATTTAACTAATTTTTCAAAGAAAATTAACAATAATTCATAGAGAATCGATGAAAATACATGAGAATATTTATAATGAAAAATATATCATCTGGACCTGGTGATTTAAATTCTCAATTGTATGTTGACTTTTAATTTAATCGCTAACTTTCGTTAACTAGCCAAACGGAGCAATCAGATGTTGTTATGTGTCTGTTAAACGGAGCAATCAGTAAATTTTCCATCCCATAAAAACAGTAATTAAAGGTTCATATTACATCATTGTATACCAGTTATTAATTTTTCTCTTTGATTTTGGAAATTTATATATAACACCACTAGTAACCTTCTTTCACTAGATACTCCTCAAGACTTAGAAGATGAATGTGGTGGTTTCTTAAGTAACCTCATTGTGTAAGTTCATTTATAATATTAAATGCTTTTATTTTGAGAAAAAAATAATATTATATGTTTCATGTAATTATATTAATTAATGTGTTCATAATTAACTCAATTATATGTTATATGAAAATAGGCAAGATTTTTTAGAATATGCAAATTTTACGTTCCACGAATACGGACACAAAGTTGAAACATTGGATCACAATCAACGAGCGATGGGTGTTTAGTCGTGCTGGTTATGACACTAGAAAAAAAAACTCCCGGACGTTGTTCACCGTACATAAGAGTATATGGACCTCAATGTCAAGATGGACGATCAGGTTTCGAAGCTTATCAAGTCAGTCACAATTTACTCTTGGCTCATGCTGAAGCCGTTGATGCGTTCAGAAAATACAAACAGTTTATATAAATTATATCTTTAATTTATATAATTTTACTTTATAATTTTCTAATTTTTTTTGTTAAAATTTTATAGTATGCCGGAGGTAAAATGGAATTGCACACAGTTAAGCTTGGTTCGAACCAATAGACCTTGAGGTTGCGGCGGAAAAAAAAAAAGACCTTGAGGTTGCTGGAACTTCCATTGATCGTTTGCTTGATTTCACCCTAGGATGGTAAAACATATGAATAAATTACTTTTATTAAAAAGTTAAATTACAATTATACTAACTTAACTAAGATGAAAATAAAAATATCATGCATTTGGGTCCAACAACGTATGGACATTATCAATGAAATATCGCATCGGTCATAGATTACCAAAATTCACAGAAGCTGAAAATAAAAAGTTGAAGAAATCTTCAGATTTTGTAGGAATGAATTATTATACTTCATCTTTTGAGGATCATATAGATAAAGGAGATCCTAAGAGCCCAAGTTGGGAGACTGATGCTCTTGTTAAATGGGAGGGTAAGTACTTGAATATTGAAAGCTGGGAGACATCTCCTAAAATTTGAAAGTGTTGATGTAAACACATAACCTGAGTTGAAAGCTATCAAATTCCTTATGCTTAAGTTCCTTGGCAATGATGTCTGCGTGGTGAGACGTTGTAGGACCATTAGGTCATATAAAAACAGTTGGCCATTCAGTAATATTCATGTATTTACCATTTGCATAAAACTAAATTCAGCAGTATTTTTCTCAACATCAATTGGCATGTTTATATGTAAATTCATTTCGGGTAAAAATTCAAACAATAACGAGTACATAGCTCGAGTTAAAATATTTTGGATATAAAAAGTATACTTCAATTTATATTTTAAATAAGTCAGATAATACGAATACGATATATGAATAATTTAGATACATAAAATCACTACCAGAATAGACAAGAGTCAAATTTATGTTCTGATATTTTGGATAATTTTAATATCTTTTAGATAACTCAAAATGATTTTTATAGAGAAAAATCGCTTAGAAATTGAAAAAGTCTATATGAATTGTGAATGATAAAAGGATTCTCTCTTCTCCTAATTACCAATATTTTATCTTCTAGTTATTTTCGTTTACGCTATTGACATCGTTTATTTTTTCACCTTTACCTAACATTATTGTTTGAGAATTTTTAAGAATTGTCCTTCGTTGGTGTGCCTCCTTTTCAAAATGTTCTATCTAGCTGTCTATTTTCATAAATAACTCTCATTAAATCTGAAATTTTTATAAAATCTTATTAGAAATACAACCAAAGTAGAATCCAAGTAAAGCTCACTTACTCTTATACACTAATTCCTAACGAGATGCATATTTGAGTATTATTTTGACTAGTTCCCAACATTCCTTTCCTAAAACTGAACTCGTTTTCCACTTTACTTTTTTTGTTGTTGTTTGATCAAAGTTCAGTGTTGATTTATTCCTATTTACTTTTGTTTTTCATAAATAAAAACCATTTAATCACATTGGGTGATGATCATGAGATTTTGCAAGCTTATAAAATTTTTGACATAAATCTTGATTCCTTTACCAGAATCACAAAATTGCAAAGTCTTTCATGATATTAAGAACCTTCGTCTCCCAAAGAATTAAGTTCTGATAGTCTTGCCCCAAAATATTGATGTTGCTCTCAAATCTTTTGATGCAAACCTCTCACTTGGAAGTTTGACTATTGTATGGAGCCTAGAATGATTTCTTACGACCGATAGGCCGACGTTTAAGGAGGGCAAGAAGAAGGCTAGTGAAAATGTGCGTAATCTTTGTCATTTGGGGTTGAAGGTGATTGTTACACCAACGAGGAACACGTGCTGTGACAAGTGTCAGAGAAACGACAAACTTTTAGGGGTTACAGATGTAGCAGATTCTGTGTTGGATCTACGGATGATGTTCCATGCCTACGACTACAGTGGTCCAGGTACATAAAATATTATTAATTAATAATATTCGTTCTTTGTATTAATTAATTACTATTTATTCTTTGTATTAGTTAATTAATATTCATTCTTTGTACTAGTTTTGTTTTTTTGTTTTTGTTTTTGTTGGGCATGTATCATTCTTTTGATATCCGATGATAATTTTTTTACCACATCTCTTGAATTCCTCTCTAACAAAGGATTTATCATCTTTTTAGCCGGAACTAATATGTGATTTCGACTAATAAAATAATAATCGTAGCATTGTTTGTGTCATGTTATGAACAAACAATTATTTTCCGTTCATATTTACAAAATGCAAAATGGATTGATAATATAAACCAACTCAAACCAACAGATTGCAAACATGTGATCGATAATTTTTTAATAGTAATTGTTCCACAAATGCCTTAGATTGTTTGTCTCTGTTAACATTTTTTGATAATCAATGTCTATGTTTTATATATTTTTTCAACAAAGCTATAGTCAGTGTCTTTGATTAGAACATACAATAGTTGTACAGGCTATTCAAATACAACAATGGAGGTTCTTATTCATAAATTTGAATTTATGTATATCATTTGTATGTGTGAATTCATCCACAATCTTTGTTATTTATTGTTAAAAATTTGTTTTTTCTTCTAAATATTAAATGTTCAAGTCTTAAACTACAAAATTTATAACATCAAAAGCATTAATTTTATTTAGATCAAATTGTTTTAACTCATATTTTTAAAAAGAGGTTTAACGATTAAAATATATATATATATATATATATATATATATATATATATATATCATATTTTTAGAATTTGAAATCAAAACTTTTGTGGTAAAGATCAGTTTTGCAAATGGAAACAAATTTCACAACATTGTATATAACCATGAGCTCTCCTGCCCTTCATCTCCAACAAGCTTCTCCACTAAGTTTTTTTTTCTTAAAAATTTATAGTATGCTAAAAGTAAAATTGGTTCGAACAAATAGACCTTGAGGTTGCTGGAACTTCCATTTGACCGTATGCTTGATTTCATCATGGAATGGTAATATATATATATATATATATATATATATTATTAAAAATGGTAAATTACTCTTATTAAAAATGAGTTAAATTTTAATTATATAAACTTAACTAAGATGAGAAAATTATTATCACGCATTTGGCTCTAACTATATAAGAGTTGTATATATTAAGGTTATAATTGTAATTAGTCACTATGTAAGCCATAGTCTAAGTCCTATATACTCACTCTGTTTTACAAAGAGTGTCATTCCAACATATTTCACACAAATTAAGAAAACTGTTTAAATTTCTATTTTACCTTTTATAAATACACTAAATAAGTTTCTCTTTCTTATTAATTAACTAAAATAATGGAGATAAAAAAGAGATGTAGTTTAAAAATCTGCATGGAAAATATAAAACGATATTCTTTGTGAAACAAAAATTAAACCTTAAAACGACACTCTTTGTGAAACGGAGGAAATATATTATAAATGATTTCTCTTATTGAATCCATTCACTCTCTCATTACATGGTATCAGAGTAGTGATATCTAAAGACCCTTTTTTTCAATTGGCCGCATCTCTCTCTCTCGTTCTCTTGTTCAAGGCTTCACCACCCGCTTTGCTCAGTTGGTTTTGCTTGAGAATGCTATTGCACATGAAGATAAAATTGACTACATACTTGAAGGACTCCATGATGATTATAAGAAAGTCCTCATCAGACTGAGAACCGTGATACTCCACCATCATTGACAGAGATTCACGAAAAGCTAATCCATCATGAGTTGAAGTTTCAAACTAATGCAAATATGCAAAATAAACGGTACAATACATCTTTTTGTAGAATTGGAGATGTCCTAATAATTAAAAAATGTCTTATATAGTTTTTGCTATAAAAGGAAATCTATTTATCGAAAAAAAAATCCAATATACCCCCATGCCTCGTGTAAGAGTTATTGTGACATATAGTGTTGTTAGATCTATTTTATTCTGGATAAGTTTGACAAAGACTTACGTTAGCATTTGATCCACCAAATTTTAGTTACAATCCTGTTAGAAAACATATATCTATAGACTATAGTTATATATGAAAGAAATAAAAAAATAGAATTACAAGTTACATTTGATAATATACAA